AACCGCAACGATCTCCAAATCCCCCCCTCCCTAAAACTCGCTTCGCTCACGACAACGAGCAGAAAGGTCCTCGGGGTGTCTCCACAACGACGTGCCTCATCAGCGGCACCCTTTGCGAGCACGGGGCCCAATTAGTGCGTGCAAGGACACCCCCAAAGCACCCCGGGGGCGCCGACCGACCCACCGCCCCTCTCGCCGCGTCGTATCGGCCAAAAGGCTGGCGGTAGCTAAAGTAACTTTAGCGGCGTTGATGCCTCCATCGCTTACCCTGCCTAACTGGTGACTGTGTCCTCCACCACTGCAAGAGCTCATTCTCCCCTGCAGAAGGCGGTATGCCGTCCGTGGACTTCGTGAAGAGAAAGATCGTCGCATTGCCCTGCTGCATGCTACTGATGATCCTGTCTCTTTGAAGACAGGCCGAGTCGTTTCTGTACTAAAGTTCCCCTTTCTCGTGTCACCCTTTCCACTTTTGTTGTTGTGGGGTTTGGTGAGAGATCGTTGCTCTTTCGTTGAGTTTGTCTGGCTGGCCGTTACTCGGAAGGAAGTGCGAACTCGAAAGCGAAGGTGCCCTCTCTCGTCCAATGAACTCTTGCATCACGTGAACGTGCACATAGCGAAGTCACGTGGTGTGAGAGGAGACAGTTGATTGGACCAGCACGCACGTTGAGCTTTGGCTGGGCTGTTGGCGAATGGGACGTACGTGGCACGAAACGAAGTTCAAAAGATTTTGGTGTTTTGCGTGTTGTCTTTTCTTCTTCTATCTTTTATCGCACAGTAGTCTAAAATATTACACAGAGGGCCAAAATATACGGCTCACGTTACGTTTGTAGGAACCTCGCGCACATTGCACGAAGGTGTTCGCAAAAATAGCCTTGTTCGATTTGAGTACACACAGTGTGCGCATACAATCACGCGAAAATCTCTACACACGGTTTTTTCCGTAAGGAAAGTTCGACACTTGTTGCGTAGAGTAACGACGTGAAAAGTATTTTTGCTGAAACGTCTTCGTGCGTTTGCCCCGGTCGAAAATTTCCCACTGTTTTCCGTTAGATCAAATAAATAGCAAAATACACTGACTGTAGACTTTCGCGTTTTGTGGGACAAACGCACACCGGGAATGGAAGCTTGTTTTTACGTCTTTAGTTTTATGTACGACTTTGGCCGACATGCGTTGCGTTCTCGAAATCAAACCCTTTCTTTACATCTGTTGAAAGCGCTAAGCCTAAAGGGCGAGCTGACGATATTTCGTTTCTTACTGCCTCGTGTTGTGATTTCTGCGTAGACACAAGACCTCAAAGAAGTGCGTGTAATTTTTTAGTGTGGTAAACGTGAAAACTAGTATTTATTTTTTCTTTGCGCAAACTGCATAGAACCAATACTCTTTTATTTCAATGTTTAATTTGTTTTCAACGGCAGTCATATGATTATAAGCACGCCATTCTCGCGCAATATGTATTTCCTCACCGCCGTCAACTTCGATATCAGTTTTTTTTTTTTCAATATGAAAATTGATTTAACATACATTACCACTCTACGTCTAAAAAAAAATTATTGCAAAGAAAAAAAGTGCACCTGGGAGAAACCCAGTTTTGCAACTTTTATCCGTTCTATCTGACACGCATCGTGAGATACCGAACCTCCGCCCACCCCACAACATTCGCCCACCCCTCAATTTTCTGTTCGGAAATTACGCAAAAGGACACGTCATTGCATAATGTTGACCTAACAAGCGCCCCTCCCCCAGTTTTATGTGATTATCTCCATATTTTGATTGGGCGCTCGCTTATGATATTACGGTAGTGGTTATTAATTAGAATATTGGTAGTTTCCTCACATTTCTTTCTAACCTTCCATTGTAAGTACGATGCGCAAGGTTGAGGATCTTAAATCTACAAATACTACTGCGGTTTGCTGCCATTGTATGCCAGCCAATCGAAGTTGTGAAGCGGTGTTCTTTTACAAGGTGTTGCGCTGACTCTGAAGTTCCCCACTGTTCAACACTTGATCCCATATTGTTTTACGTTGCTTCGTACCTACCGTTTAACGGGCATGTTGGTGAACGTAGTTATTGTCTCATATCGTGTGCTTGTGATCGTAGCATAAATTACGAGAAACTTCTGAAGGTACCCGTGTTTTGATGATATCACTAACTAATTTAATTGATACCAATGCTGAATTTTGTTCTGTCGCTTGGCACTCCCTAGGAATAACTAACCAAACAAAAATTTGAGGTGCACTTCGTTCATATACTTTCTTTAATGTTTACAATACTTTTTTTTGCTGCAGTATACTGAGGCCATCTATTGGATTCCGGATTGATTGCGTTAAGATGAAACAACAATTTCCACGTTAATGAGTGGAGAAGTTACAAGTTATAACCCGGTGTATCGTCTGGAATGTGCAGAATTACTTCATCTTGTTCTGATGTTTACATCAGAACCTGATGAAGTAATTCTGCACATTCCAGTTTTTTTGTTAATACAGTTTTTATTTTGTGCATATAGTATCGAATAATGACACAAATCGGGACCAATACTATAACTTGGCTGCTCTTCGGCACAAAAAAAAAATTAACTAATTACGAACGCGGTCAAGCGATGGTTGACGATGACAAAATCAGAGTTCATGATCACAAAGACTAAAACGGCGGAAACGAAAAGTACAGGACTCGTAATATAGACATATAATGTCGCACTCACGAAACATGGGAAGAAGGTGGAAATATACTGAGGTTTGTAGCAGAGCAGACGAAATGAGCACACACATATAAGGCCAACCGAGCATCCTTGCAGAGCAACTATGGCGGATTATATGTAGTAAGCGAATGTAAACAACGTAAAACGTCTACATTCAGCGTCATTTCAGACAACGACGCTGAGAAAAAGACAAATTATTTTCAAAGCATTAATGGCACACGAATTAAGATAAGTATGGACGGGAGAAGTTCGCATCGGGCGAGAAATAATAACCCCCGCAACTCGTGAACACGGCCTGAAGTGGATGGGTTTTGCTAATTCACGCCGGGCGCAGTTAAAGCTCACTGGATAATCGTCGCACAGAGAGAGCTGAAAGATCTTGTGTGATCCCTGACCGCTCGGATGATGACTGTGTTCACGACAAGAACAGACGATGCCCAAATTTGTATAGAGTCCATAAACGAGGCGGCTATAACAGACGAGCAAATCTTGCAGGAGCATATAGCAGACGGTGCCGAATAGACATCGAGCATCGGCGATTGTGTTCAAGTTTATAGACCACAAACGGAACTCGTAATATTAGGACGCGGGCGCTGGAAGGGTGTGTAGAGGAGCCGATTCCGGACGCATCCAGAGTTCGTACAACGAGTAATATCCTGACACAAGTTGTCACTTATATAACTCGAAGCGGAACAACAGCTAGGTTATAGCGGATGATGTTCAAGTTTATAGACCACAAACGGAGCCCAAATCAAATAGCAGTCATTGGAAGAGTACAGACGAAGTTGCAGCCGATCCCGGACCAGTTCAGAGTTCATAGAATGAATAATATTCTGACAGAAGTTGTCACTTATAGCTCAGCAGATGAGCAGCGAGCCTTGTCGATTATGTTCAGGTCTATAGACCACAAACGGAACTCAAATCAAGTAGCAGGCATTGGAAGAGTGCAAACGTCCAACCAATCACAGACCAGTTTAGAGTTCGTAAAATGAGTAATATCCTGACATAAGTTGTCACTTATAGCTCAGAGCAGATGAACAGCGAGCCTTGCCGATGATGTTCAAGTCTATAGACTACAAACGGAACTCATAGCAGGAGGACGCAGACACTTGGGCGCTAATTAAGACATACCGGGTGCAGACGAACTTGCAGGCAATCTTGGACAAATTCAGTGATAATAAAATAAAAATACAAATATCCAATCTTGCAGCTCACAGAGGATGAACAGACTTGCAGACGATGTCGACGTTTGTAGACAGCAGACGTAACTCCAGAGGGATTCGGACATCCGTGCGTTTATAGGGCAGACGGAATGCATATCGACTTCAGCCAATCTGCGACGAACTGAAAGTTGGTAGGATATGAATGCCGTAACGCAGACGAACTTGTAGCTCATAAGCAGATAAACAAAGTCTTGCAGGCGATGTCGGCGTCAGTAGACCACGGGCGAAATTAATATTGGATAAACTCGGACATACGTCAACTCAATAAAAAAAAAAAACGCAGATGTATGTAGAGTGATAAATACATTAGAAGTTAGTACAGTAGAACTTGTAGCTCTTAGCAAACGAACCGAATCTCGTAAATGATGCAAAGTCTGCAGACCACAAACGGAGCTTATAAGAGATACGCTGGGACACTGGTCCTCTAAACAAGTCAAAAGGATTGCAGACAAACTTGCCGACAATCTCGGTTGAAGTCCGAGTTCGTCAATTGATCAATGCGTTAGTTCAGCAGAACTTGTATCTTACAGCAGATGAACAGGATCTCGTGGTTGGTGTCGTACTTTGTAGACGACAAACGCAACTCATAACATATCAACCGAGGCGTTGGTCCCCCAAACAAGGCATAAAGAACGCAGTCCAACTTGCAGCCAATCTCGAACGAACTGAGAGGTCACAAAATTACAAATACCTTGCCACAGGTGAACTTGTAGCTCATAGCAGAGGCGCACGGAGTCTTGCAGACGATCCGGACGACACAGCACCCAGTCGGAGCACGAAACAGACGCGCACAACCGAAGCCCGCAACCGATCACAACGCATTCCAGAACTCAAGAAAAAGCTCCGTGATGGCTCCTCCGATCCTCAACTGGGACCACAACCGCCAGGGACAAGTCGGGACGGCCGGCGCGAAGCCCGGCAACGACGGATCGATGGCAGCCAACGAAAAAAAGAAAATCCTCCGGTGTCCCGCGGACACTACCAGGCCACCCACACCAGCACTCGGGCCTAACTCCGGTGACTACCGGCTCCAACTACACCGTGAGCGGCAAGGCAAAAGAAAAGGCCGTCCGGAACTTACCTGGGCGAACTTGAGTGCCATGGGGCCCACTAAACCCGACGGTGTGTCCATGCGGCGCTGTCCTCGGCGTCCCGCGCGTCAGCGCAGAGTGCGGCCGCGTTCGAAACGCAGGGGCGGAGCGTAACCGGTTTGTCCCGCCCCAAAGTGCCACCCTGCACACTGATTGGTCGGTTCCCTCCGCGCGCGCGCGCGCAGGCACACCCCGTGGCACGCGCACCCTAGTAGCGCACTCTTTCTTTCTTGTTTTGTGTATCCCTCCGCTCCAGATGACCCGAAGAGCAGCTCGTTTCGCGGTGGCGGAGGCCGGGCAGTGGAGCCATTGATTTGGGGCCCGGCCGGCCTCCCCATTAACTCCACAATTAGCGGCGACCCGCGGTCTTCTCCGCACCGGACGATGGGCCCGCGGTCGGGGAGGACGAGCCAGCGGCGGGAGCGGAGTCTCGATCCGCTGCGTGACCGTCGCGCGGGGTTCCGGAGCTCGGGTCCAGGGGTCGGGTCCGGGCCGCGGATTCGGAAACGCTTGTGGGGGAAGACAACCGACCAATTTCGGCACTACGGTTGGTGCGTTTTCATGGACGTCACATCGCCTCGTTTGTGCAGAGAGAGAGAGAGAGGACAGAAGAAAAAAAAAATAGAGGGGGGGGGGTGGTTTGAACAACTTTATTTTCCATTCCGCTACATGAATGAGGAAGCAAGGGGGAAAAGAAGCGGTTTACCAGCTTGATGAAGCACCTTGCTGCTTTGTAGTTTCATATATATAACATATACAACATAAACCTGTACAAGCACGTAATACAAAATAAACTTATTTTTGCTAATTCATTCATCGTATTTTAGTTAGCTTTTTACGCAAACCTCTCATGCTGACTGAAATGATGTCGATGTTATTGTTTAGGGAAGCATTCAGCGGGGCTCAGGGATTTGAGCCCAGAGTTCGGGTCCGGGGCGCACATTCGAAAAAGCTTGCGAAGAAGTCAAAACAGTTCCATTTCGTCAACCTGATTGGCCCTCTTTCCTGAGCGCCACATCAGCTGGTTTACGGGGTCGAGCGAGAGAAAAGGGGGGGGGGGGGGGGGGGGGGAGGGTCCTAGGTAAACACACTTTAGCGATTCCCGCTCTGTTCTTCAGCCGGCTCTCAGATTTTGCTTGCTCGACAAGCCTAAGAAAATATGAGCAGGCTAAAGGCTAGCGTGTGGATTACTGAGGCTAGGTGGCACAAGCTGCCGCCCGTTACAAAGGGCATTAGCATCCATCCATCTTTGCCTAAGCCTCGAGCCAGGCCATCTTATATCTCGTCCCCTCCGTAAAAATTGCAATCTGATGTTCATGAAAACGGACAAGACAGAATGCCGAAATTGGACTGCTACCCGAATTGCTCCGCAAGCTTTTTCGAATACGCGTCCGGTGCAACCCGGGGCACTCCGGAGCGCTCTGATGTGCTCCGGGGTCGATGTCGCAAGTGTCGTAGTCTCCTACCTTCAAATCTATTCCCTGCGTGTGCATTGTTAAGAGGTTACAAAAACGGAAGAAACGCGTCGAGACAAACAGAATATCGATTAAGTTATTTTTATTTTCCTCTCAGGGCCCGAACGCGTTACAGAGAGAAGTGGGGTATCGTAACAATGCATATTAAGTCCCTCGCAGCTTGAGAAACGCTTCCAGTCTGAGAATACCGAGAAACGTAGAACGTAAAAACAAGAAGCAACAAAATCAAATCATTATAGCGAAGTTGAGACGTCTCCTTTGGGAGACTTGTCGAATTTGAGTTTATGTAGTATACGTATAGGTATATCTCCTCTCCCTTTTGTGTAATACCCCTTGGGGGGCCTTCGAGGAAAAGAAATGACGATAATGATGATGACGACTTGTAACGGTTCCTCGGAAACGTAAACAAAATACCGTGTGTCCGCGAAAACAGTATGCAATGTTGCCGTTATCTGGTTCGTTGAAATCTTATAAGCTATTATCAGAGATCTGTAATCAAAAAATGACGGCCGACAAAGCCCTCAAAGGGAGCGAGAGGTTCGTATGCCGTCGGCTGGAATTAGGGTGCCTAAATGTCTGTCTGTCTCAGGGTGAAGACATCCATTGTTTCCCTGAAGGTGCCAGCGCGTGACGCTGTCGCGCACTCGGTGCGTGACTTGGGCGGGAAAATGGTGTCTATGCATCAGCCAAAGCTACGCGCTCGAGCTGAGTGACACCGGATTGCACGCACTTCAAAATGAATAAAAAAAAACGATTGGGCGAAACAATGGCTGAGATGTCACCACTCCAGCAAAAGCGAGCCTGTGTATGAAGGCACTCTAGCTGGAATAAGTCCCATTTGTTTCATTGGAAATTTTATGTCTAGTTTTGAAATCTTATGTCACGCAGGAAGTGGATTATGCATGTTCACGGTTCTTGATTTTTGATTCGTTGTTTGGCTGTCTTATCTGTTAAGGCCACGACGCCATTGGCTGCTGCGCGATAATAAGACGCGGGACTTGACCAACCCCGAGCACTTTAAGCTTTCAGTAACCACAGTACCGACGTTCTTTTAAAGCGTCGACTGCGTGGCTGTGCGGGTTTTCGGAAAACAGTGGCAGCGTAACGTATTCCACTCAACTAAATAATACTTTTTTTTTTTTTTTTAACGGAGGAATATATTACGTCATTTTTATGTTCGTCGTCGTTGCTTGAAGAGTGATGTATCCAGGGACTTTAAGTCGCGTAACTAAACTGCTAATACCTCGTACAACAACAAAAAAAAACAGGTTTCAGACAGTGTGTGCGGCGTGCTTTTTCCGTGTAACGGTCCGGTAAGATCGGCCCTGCAAAAACTGTGTGAAACATACACGTGTTTGAAGCGAACATGCTTTGAAAATGCTAGGCGTGTCAGGATATAACTTTCTCATCGTGCCTGAGGCGACCGCCGCGTCTTTTGCATGACGTATAACGGGCAGTCTGACCGCGGTTTTATGCCTAACCCATCGTAATCATTCCGAAAAATATTAAGTTGACAACCGTGATGGGGGCCGCCGACGCCCGAGAGAGGTCACTCCTGCAGATAAGTACCTTTTGCTATGGTGGGAAGAAATGGCCGAATAACGGGTCGGACTGACGTTACACAAGCAGCCATTGTGGTGGTCTTGCCGCTGAGCGCGTATAGACGCTTTACACACGCGCCGAATTACAGCCGCCATTGCCGACCTTCTTCTGTCTTACCGAGATACCAAACCACTGAAGAGGGCTTTGGCGAGCCTCCACAAAGGCAAACGCTGGGGAGAAGGACACCGTCAAATCTGAATTGGCTATAGCCTGCCCTGCTGTAGTAATGATGAAGGCAAGTGATAAAAATAAGGGGAAACAAAAACTGAAGGTCGGTTATGGCGGCGCCCATGCACAGCTGCTGTAAAGCATCTATATAGCTTCTGCAACGCACATTACGCACCACAGAATTTGTTTTTCCTGGGCAAGAATGAAGCGCTCGCGACTGCTAACGGCAGGAGGCGCTAGAAACCGGTTTTAAGCCTTTTGTGACGACTTGAGGTGTGACTCACACACTTCCGTCGAGTCCGACCGACTGCGAAGGTTGCCATGGCAACAGCAGCGTCGGGTCCAACAAATCCGGTTTTAACCCCGTTTTGTCGGAGCCGACGCAGCTGTTGCCATAGCAACCTTCGTAGTCGCGGTCGGACTCGACGCAATTGTGTGTGAACCGACCTTTGCAACCGGCTCCAAATCAGTGCAGTCGGCCGTCAGCCAGTCGTAACAGACTCAAAAGCCGGTCTTGTCGAAGTCGGTCCTAGTCAAACGCAGAATGGGTGAACGGGCCTTTAGCCCCTCGGGTCGCAGGCAGTCGCAAATGTCTAAACCAGCCACGAGAAAAAAAAAATGGCCACCAGCAGGATGCGATCACGTCACGGGCAAGCCATGTATACAGACTCGATTTCTGTATACAGTCGTTTTCAAGAAAGGCCGAAACGGCCGAGTGACCACCGAAAGGAACCTGTGGCGTTGCTCCGACGAGGGGTTGAATTAGCCACGAGACTATATGGCTTGCGGACGAGAGCGCTATTAGCGGCGAGATGTTTTGGTGGCGCCCTCCTATGGTTCCCCCTTGTGACGTCATTACCTTGCGAACAGCAAGTTCGATGGTGTTTGTAAATAGCATGGTGGAAGCCTGAAATCATTGCGCTCTCAAAGCAACATAGCCAACACCGTCGAAATGAAAGTTCTTTCATTCCTCTTATTTCCGTCGATGGTATACCCTTTCCGACGTCATAGTCAGCTTTTGGGCCAATCGCGGAAGGCCGACCACAGCGACGCTTTCGGTCGCGCACGGGGCTAATAGCCAAGGGAGACCTCCTTCAGTGCAGCCACAGTTGAAAATACAGTCAACACACCGTCAGAAAATGACCACTCTAAATAAAAGAAGGTGTTAAAAAAAACGGATACGTTGTATTGAATTTACTGATAACGCCTTCTTGCCAAGCCAATACTTTTTATCGATTTCAAAAATCCCCTTCAAAGACAAACGCTGGTCAGCACGTTTGCAATCATGGCGTCTCGACCGGTGTCCCATGCGTGAAAGCACACGCAGCACGCGCGCGCGTGAAGGTCAAATAAAGTTTTTCCTCCTCCTCCATGGTTTTTGGCAGGCAGGAACCTGGCGGGGGGCCAGGTGCCCTGTTTGCAATCGTCCATTGTGTATGTTCGATTCGTCAGTAAAGTTCTAAAATAGTTCAGTCCGAGTCCAGAGGTGTGCATGCAGGGGTCGCGCAGCGACGGCGTAGAGCCAGGACAACCACCGCGGACTGGCGCTGTGATCGAATTCCCGAGCGGAACCCATGGGTGTCGTCTGCATCTGTTAGCTTTTGTTTCTCCGAGCCACGATGCTACCCTCTATATTCTTCGTGGTACGATAGGATCGTTCGCACACCGTTTTCCTCATAAAAACGTTTTCAGCACAAAATGCGATCCTCTCTGCATGTTTGACAGTTACCTTCCGGTTCCTATTCTTTACATGAGCATTTGTGTCC